AGTCATGGTGAAGGGAGTCAAAAGCTAGATGACAAGAATCATCGAGTGGAGAATTTGCAGGTGGGATTGAAGCACTTTGTGCTTGAGTTTTCTCCGGAAATGAGGAGCTAGTCAATTAGTGAGACTGATGGCCGCTGTCATGACCCTGAGGAGATTGAGTGCATCATAGTTTTTGCCCAGGAGGCTGACTGGGATGCCCATCATCACTGCAACTCGTTCCACCGTCTCAATGGCTTCAGATGGTTGGTGAGCCCACCATTCTTCAGTTTTGGCGATGTCGTCGGTGAGGACCTTTCTCTTGGGTTCTGACAGCGGAAGTTCTTTGAGCCATTTGTTGAAGGCCCGGACTGCAAGAGTTGATGGCATATGTTGAGCTAGCCACGGGTTGAGTGTGGTAGTGCCAACCAACAAAGAAGACGGATCGAAACCCGGTGGCGCAGGAAGTGCCGGGTTGTTGGAGTTCCTCAGGAGAGCTTGTTGGATGGGTGTTGAAGCAGGGCTTGAAGCAGAAGGGCCCGTAGTAGCTGGTGTGGAGGGTTCGCCCGTGTCTTCTCCCAGTCTTTGACGTAGTTGCGCCAATTGGCTTCGGAGTTGGGTGAGCTCATGTTGACTCTCCGGATCTGCTGTGCGGGTCGGAACCCAGCTGTGGATCAGATCAGCTATCTGTTGCGCTGCATACTTGGTGTTGTTGGTCTTGTCCAAGAGTTTGCCGTCTTGCCTAGCCCGGCTGTGAGAGACCTTGTCAAGGTCGACTCCCTTGTTTCTGAGCTGCGTCAAGAGCTCTGTCATGAATACAAGTGCTGTGATGTCCCCAGTAGGGATCATGTTGAGTTCACGACCATGAGCCAGCTTGCGAAGCCAAAAGTTGTTGGCTTGCTGATATAGCAAGGCTGCCACAGGGAGCTGCAAAGGATCACACCCTTCGATGTCCAGCTTTTGCGTGAAAGCTGATTGGCGAATGCTTCATGGGAAAGTCAAGCCATTGATCTTCTGGTTGTCATAGTGGTCTTTGTCCTCTTGCCAATGAGGATTGAGATCAAAGCCATAGGTGCGGGTGGCATCCAGTTTTGCTTGGCCTCCTGGTGAGATGATGGGACGGATGGAGTGCTTGGTGAAACTGGTTGTGTTTGTGGACAGGGTAATGTGGGTGAGCAAGGTGGAGTAACTTGGCGAGGAGGAACTGGATATGCAAGAGTTGGTGGAGGTGATGACGGAGGTGCCGGTGGGAACCGTTGACTGGGCCATGTGCCCTGAAGTACGACGGGTGGATTTTGGTGCATTGATCTGTTCGGCATGTAGGCTCCCGACTGCTGCATGGTAAACTGAGGTCGAAACTGAGGGCGTGACATTTGTTGTGAGTGCCAGACAGCCGCTTGCATAGGTCCGCACCAGCGAGGAAAGAAGGGCAGTTCTTGTCGTACTGGCTGAGCTGGTCCACGAGGTTCAGAGCGGTTTCGTCCCGGCATTGGAGATCTGGATCTATCCGAGTCTGCCATTGAGAAATGTCACTCAAAATCTCTAGTAGCTATGAGAAAAGTATCAAAACTGCAGGAGGTATACACAAGAGTCAAATGATTGAAATGAAAAGAATCAAATTAAAGCAAGCCATGGACATCACCGTTGATGAATCCAAAAGGAAAATTGAAATCACTTTGATTCATGTGCAGTCGCAGCATGGCAATGTAGAGATTGCAATGGTGATACATGACACGACACAAAACATGTTCAAGTCAGATTGAGGCGACCGTACTTTTTTGATCAAAAGCGTGTCCAGGTTTCCCTGGAAATGTCAACTCCGGTTTCCGGGTGATGCCAAAAAGAGCTAAGAATACATGACAACAACTGGTCAGCAATGAGGTCCTGCTGTCAACGGCGACCTGAGTGTCGTTCCTCAGTGGTGCGATAATTTACGTCATCTGAGGATGAGTCGCCAACGTCGATCTTGTCGGTCAGATTTTGCCACTTCAGGGCAACGAACTTCAGTCCCACGTGATTGCTGTGGGCAATCGTGTACATCTCGGACGTGGTGACTATTCCTTTGTCGGCTACAGCAAGCTGCGCCATTTCGTTGCCACCAGCTTTGTATGCGGTGTGGACATTTGCACCTCGATACATCGCCCCAACGACAATGTCTTGTTGTCCTTTCCCTTTCTTCTGGATGGTGTCGAGAAGCTCTCTTGCCGCCCACTCTGGTATGATGTCGCACCGTTGAAGGTTTCTGTGGTAAGACCAGTTGGCTGGTCTGATCTTGCCCTCAAGAAGGATGAGCGGGGAGGTACGGAGTGTCGTCCCATGAAGTAGCGCCCATGTATGGTTTTGACGCTTTCGAAATGGAGGTGGCATCTGAAAGTGACTGGAGTCAGGTAAAGGGAGAATGAGTGCAATCATGTTGGTGGAAGGAAGTTCTCGGATCTGTGCTTGTTTAAGATCATAGTCAGGAAGGAGGTGTGTGCTGAAGAACAGCTGGATCGCTTTTTGGATAACATCCGGGGGAATGCGGCTATCAACCTGCTTCAAAGTCTCGCAGGCTTGTAGGCCTGGTGATCCATGGTTTGCGACGGTTGAGGTCTGTCTCCTGGCGCGATTTCATTGGCCGCTCTCATCCGCTCAGGATGATTTAAGGCATACTTGATGCTTCTGAACCACTCTTCATTGGAACCTTCTTGGAGGTTGATGGCTACGTGTCCTGGAGGGACATTGACAGGAGCATGGGATTGATCCAAACCCGGTGTGTTTGGTGGTTTCTTCTTCTGGCGATGAGATGTGGTGTGGTCGGAGGAGAATGCTGTGAGTGGCTTGGTAGAAGAGTCATAAGGATCATTGTAGCTGGCTGACGGTTTGGAGTAGTCAATCCATTTGGATGGATTGGATGAGTTGGAGGAGTTGGAATAGTCTTTCCATTGTCCCCAGGATTGCCACCTGTTGGTGGACGATTGGTCGTAGTGGTAGGACTGTGATTGAGTGTTGGTGTTTTGTGAAGACTGTTGTGGGTAGTAATCCCACGATGTGGGTTGGAGAGTAGCTGGTGGATTGGTGGTTTTCCGTGGTGATTGATGATCTTGTACATGATGTCGTCCTTCTCGACGTTGTGGAGATGCTGAGCGTAAGGTGATGGACGTGGCTCTGCTTGCCTGACGTGAGGCATGCCTGGACGTGGAAAAATCTCTGGAGGAGGATCGAGGTCGTGAAGAGCGACGGACTCTTCTTGTGGATCTTCGACGACGAGGGCTCCGAGGAATGGAGACTGGCCGCTTATCATGTCTCTTTGACATGGATCGATGGCGATGGGACCGGGATCGTCGCTGGGGTCGGCGACTGGATGTTGAATATTCACCAAGTGGATGTGAGTGACTGATGTTGTGTGGATAGGTTGGAGTGGGTGGATGTGCTGGTGCTGGAGGTTGGTTGGTATTGCGCTCTTGAGTCTTATCCACGAAAGCTTGAATGCTGGATTCGACTGTGTGCATCATCTGTTGCATCATCTCTTCAGGATTGAAGGATGGATTGGGTCCAGCTTGAGTGGTTTGAGGTACCACTGGTGTTGGTGGATCTGGCGCTTGAGGCCCTGATGGTTGTGGAGTCGGTGGAGTGGATGTGGCGTGAGCCTGTTGAGTAGGTTGATGGAAGGGGATGAGTTGCTGAAGATGTTGGATATGAGATTGAGCTTGTGAAGTGAGCTGTTGATTGAGAATCGCGTTCTGCTCCCTAAGAGCGGCAATCTGAGCCTGAGTCTGAGCTTGAGACTGAGCTGCTGATTCATCATGTCACCTCCGCAGAATTGACCTTGAAGTCCCATCGTTTGCGGGTTCCAACCAAAGTTCCACATCGTGTCAGGGACGTTGGGAAAACGTCCAGGAAACATGGCGGGAATGTGAGGTTGAGTAGATTAATTAAAACAAAGAAAACCAGCTCACAACTGATGCATCCACATTACCGTGCAAAAATTCCCCTGATTGCAGGCTCACAGGCCTAAGTGTCACTTCAACCCCATAGACAGCTTACGTCGTCAACCCCTGAATTACGTGCACAATTGAACCTCACCAGAGTAACCAAAAGGAAGAGACCACACCTGAAACGCATGTCCTGATGCCTGGAGTTCCATGTGAAAAAGGCTGCGGTCAGTCTCTTGAGATAACAGAAGGATTGTTGTCGCGGCTTCAAGCTATGCAGCAGCAGGTCAAAGAAATGGGTGAGTTCCAGGAACAGCGGGCCGTTGTTCAACCAAACGACTTCGACAGGGTGAAAATCGAAAAAAAAGGCCAGAAGTTCACTTTACTTAGACGAATTACCAATTCAAAAGTGTCAATTCAGAGGTCATTTCAACGTGTCATTTTTTAGCCTGGAAAGGCTTTCCCCGAGGGGTTCATGCCACCTTGACGAATCCAGCATGAATCACACACTTGCTCAGAAACATCTTATCGAATTACTGATGTGGAATGCATCGTACGTGCAAAAACACCTCAGTTAAACCTGACAGGAGAGGATTGATGACACGATCTGAGAAAGATCGAAAAGTAATCCCTGTTTGGCCTCAGCTAGAAGCAACTGTTCCATCTGAAATAGTCGGCAGCAATTCAGATTGCGGAAACCGTACTGACATCAAGTTGAAGGTTGGTTTGAAAAAGACCCCAAAAGATTGAAAAAGTAGAAAAACGACATGCCGGTTCTTGGCTTGGCTGGTCGCCATTTCGGAAATTGGAAAATGCAGGTACACGGAGGTGGTCAATCTCCGCTTCCCCCATTGTGGAATAGCTTCGTTGGCACAGGTATCCACAATGGGCCTGTGCCCCCTGCTCTAAATTGGATTTTGGAATGGAAATGGCATTTGAGATTGGCAAATCATCATGACGTGAAAAAACGAAAGCCTAACTAGCAGTAAAAATCGACATCATCAGGTAGAAGTTTTACATCTATTCAGATGTTCCACACACACACACAGCACACACAAACAACACACACACGCAACACACACACACACACACGCATCCTGGGGCCGTGACCACCCATGGTGGGCCATGTCTGAGGTCTCCGAAGGTCCTTGCAATGTACACAGTGCAACAGATCTTCGCACAATTTGAACCGTGAATTCTGCGCCTTTGGCCTTGGAAAGCCTTCACACTTTGACCCCCCTCATGGCCTTTGATGGTAGCTGGCCAAGTCCTGAGCTTGCTCTGACACCGATTTCTCAATTCCTTCGACCCCTGGGCAATGACAAAAGATACAAGCTGGGTGACCCACGGGATCTTCTTGAAGTCGTTGAACCAACTGTCGCTGCTTCAAGTCAGACTTTTCCTCCGGATGTTATCGGCAGCCATGGTGTCCAAAACTGTCTAATGAGATAATTTGATCATTGTACCTGACAGTTTGTTATCAGTCACTGTTCCTACCAGTGTGTTCTTGCCGACCCCGCCAGGACACAGATGAAAAAGACAGCGCTGCAAGCTCTGTGGGACAGTTGCGATCGTGTCCTCCACTGCCCCGCGCAGTTCTGCAAGCTGTCGTAATTTGGCTGTCCTTGGCATTGCATATGTTACAGCCCGTTCTAACTCAGAGAAATGTAAAGGCAACAGGTGCTTAAATGCAAGTGCTAGACTGCTGTGGCAAATACCAGAAATATCAATTAAGAGACCTTTGCTCAGACCAGCTTATCAAATTTCGAAGGTGGAATCATCCCACATGCAACAACAGCTCAGTATAACCTGTCAGGAGAAAGGAGTGCTATCGAGATGGGAAGTTCATCCAGTGTATGTAAAATATGAAATACCACCATCACGTTGGCAAAACAAAGTGCCGACCCTTCCCTTTCGAGTATCAGATTGCGACAACACTGCAGAAACCAAAACGAAAACATCGACTTGCCGGTTCAACGCTTAGCCGGTTGCTATCACGGCAAAAGTTGGAAAGTGCAGGTACGTTGGGTTGATCAGGCTCCATATCAGCCGTGGCAAAGCCCTGCCCCGGAGCGCGCAAACTCTGAAAGGACAAGAGAAGAAAAAACGGAAGCCGACTCAAAGGCTCTCGGTAGCCATTTCAACCCTTGGACAGCTGACGTGTTCAACCCCTGAATTAATGCACAACTGGACCTCACCAACGACCATAGAAAGAAAGTATGCACCATACCTGCAGGCATGTCCACAGCCTTACATTTCATGTTGCAGCAACAGGTGCTGAGCAGTCTCTCGGGCAAAGTTGGACAAAAAAGGAAGTTTCTCAAGTTCACCAGCCACTCACATCAACCGTGTCTCAAAAAACATTGGAGCCCGGTACTGTGGCCAGCTGATCATCAATTGACCAAGGTGTGAAACACAAAAAGAAAAGGCCAACTGTTTCACTTTACTTAGGCGAATTACCATGTTAAAATACCACACTTCAGGGTTCAATTCACGGATCTGGTTTACCTAGACAGGTATTCCCCGAAGGGCTCATGCCACCATGTCGAATCCAGCATGAGTAACAAACTTGCTCAGACCAGCTTATCAAATTGCAAAGGTGGAATGCATCCTACATGCAAAAACAGCTCAGTATAACCTGTCAGGACAAAGGGGTGCCATCGAGATGGGAAGTTCATCCAGTGCATGTAAAATTTGAAATACCACCATCACGTTGACAAAACAAAGTGCCGACCCTTCCCTTTCGAGTATCAGATTGCGACAACACTGCAGAAACCAAAACGAAAACATCGACTTGCCGGTTCAACGCTTAGCCGGTTGCTATCACGGCAAAAGTTGGAAAGTGCAGGTGCGTGGAGTTGATCAGACTCCATATCAGCCGTGGCATAGACCTCTTCGTTGGGCAACCAGCTATGCTCACGGGGTTGCCCCTCTGCAATATAATAAGCCATGGAAAATCAGAGAAGAAGATACTCAACGGTAGCGAAAATTGAAAATTCCAAACATGGTTCATCCAGCGTCCACAGGTAAAGGCTTTACATCTATTGAGATGGTACACACAAAAAAAAAACATGTGTATATAGTAAGACTGGCACGGATTTGATGCATCAGCACCTGCATCGCGGCTGGCAACGTGCAAACTGCAGACTTGTTCATACGGATGTGGAGTCTTGCCTGAATCGTCTGATGCATAGTCGCGGATCTCAGCCACATGACCCATGTTCTTGCTGGCACACAGCATGAAACTAATTCAAGGAAAACCTCTGGGAAACCCCATCTAGTCTCCTTCTGCATCTGATGACCGTAATGATAATGCAAAGGGATGATGGCATTGATGGCATTGATGGCATTGATGGCATTGATGGCATATATTGGCTCAGCTCCACACAATCCAATTGGCATGGTGAAGTACGATCCGTTTGGGGATGCCAAGCCCTCCATCGAAGGCCTGGCGAATGCTTCCGCTATGTGAGCCATGGCTTCCCCCAAAGGCACCTGAGATGAGGCCCAAATCTCAGGTGGAAAGCAGCCCCAGCGCCTGGAAGAAACGTCTGGATGGATGGCAATGGATGGCAGGGGTTCAAGATTCGAATTCAATCAAACTAATCAAACCATGTGAAATATTGTGAAATAGGTTTTGCTTTGAAACAACGCTGGCATTGTAGGCCCTGTCAAAAGAACATGTGTGTCAGTGTGTGTGTGTACATATATGTATATATAATTATAAGGTATACGTGCACTATGTAGATGTCCATTCAAGTTACCATGTATATAGATGTACATGCAACAGTTCATGTTGTGATATACATGTGTATGATTGTGTATGTGCATGTGTATGTGTTTATGTTTGTGCAAGTATGTATGTGCAACGATCTAGTAGTGAATATGTGGGCACGTATAACCGTTTAACAAGATTATTTGCTGTCGGCTGAGGTTCTGGCAGCGCAGGCATCTTTTCAGTATACAGCAGGTTATTGACAATGCGCTGATCGTGACCTCGGCAAATCAGTGATCTCATCGCTCAGAACGGTCCCTGGATGCTTGTGGGATGTCCAGTTCTGGGATTGGCACGGCCTGTTGGAAGTTCCTCCCACACTTGATTCCTGTCATATGGCATCACTAGAGCACACCACTTCGGCCACGTAGATCCAGTGGGTATGAATCATGCATCCTAGGCAACAACCCATTGGCGTGAAAGCCGCATAGAATGGGATATGTCAACAGCAAACATCCTTGACATAAGAGCAGCAAACACGTTTGCGCCACCAAAAATCAATAGCCGCTGCAGTTCGCCGAATTGCGACAAACCCAATGTTCACACCTAGATGGCAAACTGAAAATGCAAAGATTTTCAGCTTCCGAAGCCACGATGGCACTGCACTTTCTTTCCCTTTAGCTTGAGTTTCATCAAGTTTCATCCTCGACTTTCTATGCCTTAGGATCAAGCCCAACTCAGTGAACTCTCGTTGAAAGCACATGTCTCTCCCGGCAATGCCCTGGTTGGCCAAGCATGAAGAGTTACCCTGGTGCGGTGCTTCAAGGATCACTGCGCAATGCTTCTGCAATCCCTCATCGAGACCATCCTGCGCCTGGCGAACCAGTGGCATCACCTGACGCAGCGAATAAACTGGTCCCAGCGCATGCAATATACCTTGGTGATCCTTAGTGGTTTCCTTGAGTGGGCCAAACTGCCACAGGAAAAAGAAGCGCCAGTAGCCTGAACTACTAATTACTGCGCTGGGGCAAGCAGGCACCCTCAGGGCTTGAAAATTGCCAGCATGAGAATGTCGGTGAAAGCACTGATTCCAATGCGGCCTCCCCGAAGAATTGGATATCAACGTCTGAAATGAGGAGAATTTCCTGGATCTCGCTGGCCCTCTTTGGTTGTGTCTATGTGAAGGATCTGTATCATGCAGTGCAACGTCCTCATGCCCCGCATCTTCCAAGGCATCCAACAACAGTTTCCTGAGGAGAGAGAGAGAGAGAGAGAAATAAAGCAAAGATTGGTCGAACAAACCTTCTACAGCCTGCAAACCTTCATACTTCTTTGGTTGTAGCCGTCTACATATACTTGCTTACTATATGCACTCTTGCGAGGACAAGCTGCGGCTCATTTGGCTCAAGTCATCGTAAACATGCAAAATTATCATGCTCAATGCAGCCTAGGGTCGTTTTGAACTTGTAGACAGGAACCTAAGAAGAGTCAGTGTGATCAGAGATTTTTCTCCCTGAAAATGGCTTCGGCGGTGCCTGTTCCCTCATAGTCCTTTCATGTCCTTTATGGACACCGCTCAGGCGCTGACCCCACCAGCTGTGCGCTGTTTTATCACATTGAGGTCCTGGCAAAGACTCAACAAACATATCAGATTTATCATGTAGGTATTCACTCTTGATGCTCCCTCCGCAAGTATCGTTCAGATATCTCACCTATACATGCTTGTAAATCATGACTCTGAATTTACAACAATTCAATAGCATGACTCTTTGGAGTACAACCATCATGAGTGGTCCTCCACAATGGTTTCCTTTAGCTCGATCTCCTCATCCACTACGGAATCTGCACCATCCGCCGTGTTGGATGATGGTTGAGTTGCGCAGAGACGGTGTGTTTTCAGGCATAGATACGATATTGATTCAACCATGAATCAAACAACACTTTTGAAGTTGAGATCTTCAGGTAAGTACAGCTTGGCCTGACATCAACTTGACAATTCCCGTTTTCTCAGCACATCTACTCTTCTTGGGGCCAAGCTTACAAATTGGTCTCTCAATGGCTTGAAGTTGGCATCGGAGAAGAAGTGAAGGCCAACCTTGAACCGTATGTACACCCACTCCCAAACAGCCTGCGAACACAAAATCTGTCAACATGTTGGGGATGTTTAGTCTTGATACTCTGCCTTGTGTCCAGCTTGTGTTGACCATTCCGTCGTGCTAGGCTCATCACAGACTGAGATCCTTGTTTGACCTGGATCACATTTGTACATGAGCAAAACATCATCATATGTAACGTACATTGTTTACACACATGTACACTTAATCATACTCACATTCAGACAAAAAACATGATACACACCCAAGCTTTCCCTGGACTCTGGACACAGATGAGCAAATGGTTTTTGATGGTCTTTGCCTTCTGCCTTCTAAGATTTGGGCAGTGAGTGATCTCGAGCCACACCTCAGAGCCCGTGAAGGCCACCTTCGCCCAAAGGGCACAGCCTGGGGCTGGAAGTCCATCGTTACGCACTTTGCAACGACCGGTACGGCCGGTACGGGTTACGCAGTTTCCAAGACCATGGCCAGCAAACCACAAGAGCTCCAGCCCATTGCCATCCGCATTGATATCTGGCAGAGATTTAAAAAGGGAAGCGCAGATTTTTCGAAGCAAAGAAGTACAGGCAGAACTACATAGCAATTCAACAATGCCCAGCAGAGCTGAGAATGTTCTGATGAGAAAGACACAGGCTTTTGCCACACGCTTCATGCTGCCTTGCCATGCTTGTCCTACTGCACACACACACACAGTGCCAACCTAAGATATGCGCCAAAAATATCCAAAAATATCCAAAAATCACCAACACATTTGGCACTTTCAGGATCGTTCAGTGATCCTTCAGGTCTTTACCGTTGATTTCCGTATTTCTATACCCTCAAGATCAAACAAACCCCCTTGTCCGACATTTTAGAACCCCGGATCTGGGGTCTAGGATCGTTTTCCCTTTAAAAAACCCAAGGTTTCCCAATTTCGCACCTTTGTGCAAATTCTTCCCCACCAATTTGCCTCATGATCTATTTTTGTTCTTCTTCTGGGAACTTCAAACTGAGCGATATCGATATCGCCTTGTTTTGAAGATGGAAATATTGACCCGCAAAAGTCAGAGATGTGAATTCCAAACGTCTTTTGCGTGCTTCCCATCGCCAGTCCACCTTATTTTCCTAGATTTTCTGGGAAATTGAAACCAAGCGACATTGAAACCACCTGGTTTTGAAAATGGAAATCTTGATCGACCAAAACGAGGGATGTTAATTCCAAACATGTCTTGCACCTTCGTGCAGAGACCTCATCAGGACTTGGTTCCTTTTTCTGCACTCCAAAATAATGACCATTCTTGTGGTCTGTTAGAATCAATTCATACCACAACAAGGTTCATATATCCAAACTTTCAAGGTTCTAAAATGATAGCCTTTAAAAGTTCTAGAATCATAGTGGTGATGATTTTAGAACCTTCAACGGGAACCCCAGGGGGGTGGGGATTCTAGACACCTCGATCTTGAGGGTATGTATTTCTGTGGCGTGGCCTGCCGCATGGCCGACTGCCGCATGCCACCAGGTCGCGGCGCGGCCGAAGGCGTCACGCTCAGGTGGAGGACTCGAAGGCAAGCCATCTGGGACTGAACCACCTGGACCTGAAAAGATGTGGGCCCTGCTACGGAGCTGTGAAGAATGATTCAAAAAAAACGGCTAAGTACGACATACAACTTCACACAACTTGGTACCACTTAGTAAAACCCAGTATGTCTTAGTATGACTTAGTACATCTTAGTACTACTTAGCATGACTTTATACAACTTAGTTGGACTTGGTACGATTGTGTCTTATTTAGTACCCCTTAGTATGACTTAGTACCACTTAGAACGACCCAGTACGTGTGACTTAGATACTTAGTATGTCTTAGTACGTACGCCTTAGTATGACTTAGTGTGACTTAGCAAGATTTTGTAGGACTTATGATGACTTTTGTAGTACAATCTAGAAACACTTCACAGGACTTAGTATGGCTATGTATGACTTGGTATATACAACTTGCTGGGACTTACTACGACTTAGTGTGGCTTCGTACGCCTTAGTAAGACTTAGTGTAAATTAGTACGACTTAGTATGAATATGTATGAATTCTATAGTGCGACTTAGTACGACTCCGTACAACTTCATACAACTTAGTACGCCTTAGTACGACTTAGAGTGACTCAGGACGACTTAGTAAGATTTGGCACGACCTAGCACCACTTAGTACAACCAAGTACGCTTAGTATGACGTAGTACTACTTTGCATGACTTAGTACAATTTAGTTGGACGACAAATTTAGTTGGACGACTTGGTACGACTTAGTATCACTTAGTACAATCTAGTACCACTTAACAGGACTTAGTTTGGCAGACTTAGTACAATTAGTATGACTTTTAGTAGCATCACTTAGTCGACTTCAAACGAAATAATATGGCATAGTACGACTTAGTATGGAAGAATGTCGTGAATTGAGTCAAGGCTTGCAAAGACAAATTGTAGATGACAGATCGCTTGGTTGAGAAAAGAATGCCAGAGACTTTTGCCAGCACTTCTCACAAGCCTCTTCGAGCCATGAAAGAGGTAGCAAGCAACCCTATTGATACTAGTGCCAGATGCCGAACTCAAATTCACAAGCCCATTGTTTCAGTCTGACTGTCTGATTTGAAAGAAGGTTTATCACTCTTGGGGAGGCTTGCGTAAGAATCTTGCCAATGGAACCTCCGGGTGTCAACAATGCAGTTCTAATCTACGTTTTCCTTCATGAACCGAAAAAAGAGCTCCTGTTTTCTCCTTTCATCCGAATGATTCAAGCTAAAGTTTCACTTTGTGAAGCGGGATGGTGGCCTTTTGCCGTATAAAAATACCAATGTTTTGATATTTTTGGTGATACGTGGCGTGCGCTGCAGGACCAATACAAGACAAGAGTCCATTTGAGATCCTGATCCATGCGCCTATGTACACTTGACGTCAGGGTTGGGCCATCCGGTTGAACATGTCTTTGTCATACCACTTAGATCCATTTGGATAGAAATCCCATTGCTTCATGACGATTTTCATTTTGTTTCATGTTGTTTCTATTAAGCGCCATCCTCTGCCCAACACTGATTTTTGCCAGGGCATGTTCTTTGGCCTTGACATGATTTTTTTTCTAGTTCTCACTGACCTCATTCGGATACCCTCAGCGGGCTGTGAGTTTTCCTGGTGTTCTGGGCCTCAATTGTCTGATGCCACGGAACATGAAAATCACGAATCGCTATTGAAGATTACAGGATAAACTGCACTGTTCTTCTGCGGGGGCACGTCTGACAAGTGTCACCCCCAAGCGTCAGATCAGGCGGGCCACTTTCGGCAAAAAACCATCTTGGCTTCCCAGGTCACGTCTTCGCCCTGCCTCCGCAGCTAGTTGCGAGTTTTCCAGACTCAGCAAGGCCTATGAATTTGTCATGAATTTAATGCTCTTGGCAGAAAAGTGAATCACCCACCTGCAGTCTCCCTGGACCTTGGAGTTGCGCCAACATAGCTGAGCTCTTCCGGGCTGCACACTGCATCGCCCATACCAAGATCCAGACTCGCGTCATCACTGTGCCTGTGAGGGATGCCGGTGCACAGAATCTGTTTTGTTCCATGAAAGTTAGTTGGCCACAGATGGCACTTACGGACTGTCGATGAATTTTGGGTGTGACAAGATCCCTTGCTTCCGATGCATTTAGCTTTTTAATTCAAGACACGATGGATTTTGCTTCTTCTCTATCTGCATGCGGCTTCAAACCCATCACCAAGGATCATCACTTTGTGTCTCAGTTTATTTCAGAGACTGTAGCCATTAAGAAACGTGGGTCATGATCCAGTCGTATAACACCTGCAAAACACAAATGGCAAGCTAATGAGGCTAATGGCTAATGATTTCTCCAACTGTTCCCAAAATACTTGAAACGAAACCATACAATCCAAGTCTATCAAACTCCTAGAATCCAGTGATCACTCCCAAATTGGTCCAAATCTCTAGGTCTCTAGGTTTCAGTTGGGTGTCCTAGGTGTCCTAGGTGTCTCATGCCCCACCAGTCCCCGAGCGTCCGGCGCATCTGTCAGCTGTCTCAGCTGACGCCGCAGCTCGTCAGCTTCGCTGCGAAGACCCTTCAACTCGTGCAGGGCGTCCTGATGTCACCAGTGATATGTCATCATGACCCATCATCCTTAGTAAACCCTGGTAAACGGATGTGACATCTACTAATACCAATCTACTAATATAATCTAATATAGATGTACATCTACATGCAAATACATTCACATCATTGTGTACATACACATATACTATCATATACTAATATACAGTACACGTTGTACATACCCAAAGAGACTCAGAATCTACATATGCACCCCAAATTCCTTTTTGCTCCCCGCTTGGGAAAAAAGATTCGAATGGATGTCCGTGCAGTTGAAGGTGTCCCGAGCTTGGAATACTGCCATTGTTTTTTGGTTGGATTTTTGTCGTAGTTACCATCGTAGTTTCACTGCAAGGATATATATATATATTTATTTATAGATACACTGTACAGCAAATGGGGACACTACATCTCACAGTGGTTGGCAACCCAAGTCTATATTTCGGGGCCTCCGCACAAGCTTTGGCCATTCGAGTCAAACGCCGCATATCATGGCAGAACAGAGCTTCCTGCGTGGTGCAAAGCATAGTGCTTCAACAAGGAGCAGAGATAATGTCCTGGAAAAAAACTGGATTCCTCGTCTCCGACGATCTCCGAGACCTACCCTTGGCATCTGTGAAGATCCCCCTGGCCCAGATTTCACAAATCAAAATGGAATCTGAACGGGTCCTGCTGGTCCAGTTCATCTACTCGTTTGGGAGGACTCCTGCAATCCAAAACTGCTCAAGTGGCAGGGCCAAGGGAACCCAAGAGAGCCCAAGGGATCCCAGGGGACTACGAGGAATGCAAAGCCTTGCTGCAGAACTCCCGCCTCTGCTGGCGACAATCCTGCAACACAGGAGCCAGATCTCGAAACATATAAACATTACTTTACACAAAACAATGCTGCCATGACATTTCATCTTGATAGACATTGCTGCATGTCTTTTTGAGACCCACGTGCTTTTTTGCTGAGTGCTTGTCTGTATCACATTGCTGTTGAGCAAAGCTCTAGGCCAAGCAAAAAGTCGAAGTCACAAGTTCCACAATTGCTAACTTCGTCCGAGCTTCGGGGCTCAAAACGATATCTCGCCGAACATTTTGGCACCAACATCTCATGAGTCATGGCAGCCATGTCAGATGATTGGCCGATTTCGTGGCTCCTCCGTTGGAACATTGCTCCGCCTGCTGGTGGGAGAATCCTGGGCAACGGGAATGGCATCATAGCTCATTGGCAGCTTCACCAAGGCGCTGACCGGCTGCTTGATCCAACCTGAGCAGCCCAAAATGGGTTGCCAAAATGGCTGCAAAATGCTGCAAGGAGCGCTGAAAATGCGTCGAACGCATGATTCTATGAATTCCAATGGAGTTTTCTAGATACATCATGGCCGCCCATCAGCTTTGTGGCCACTTCTGTTCGTGGAACTTGGTATCCACACTTGAGTGTACCGGGCCTCGTTCAGCCGCAAGATTCAACGTGATTCGGACCTGCTCAGCTTTGCCGCACGCCAGTGCTCCCAGCTGCCCCGCCATGTCATGCTCCAACAAGTGGCACCTTGGGTTTCTCCCATGGCTTCACATTGTCCTGCGCTGCAAACCACCAGTATGGTCCAACCCGGCGGGGGGCAAGGGGCATGGCGTGTTATGGATGTTGATCTGATGATCCAGGGATTCAGAGGACAAATGGTTGAAACTTGTTCCAGCGAATTGTTTCTAGAGCCCGCTTCATGGTGTCGTAGCAGCCCGGAACCTTCAGTGCTGATTTGGCAGCTTGCAAGCATCGCCTGGCAGGAATGCTGAGTCTGAACTGTGTCTTCGATGCCAAGCCTCGTCAAATTGCGAGGTCCTTAACCGTCAGGACACCCGAACTGATCAGTTTCAGAGCTCGAACACACTAAGTTGAGAAGGCTTTTGTTCTTCAAGCTCGTGACAAACTGAAAGCACAGGACTTTGACTGTTTCCTCCATAAACCAATGCTGGTGCCAAGCTTTTGCTGAAAACAGAGTGGAAAAGAGTCGACGTACATGGGTAATACGGTATGACACAAACAATAAAGATGATTGGCTGTCTTCTTAAACTTCTTAAATCACCAAAAGTGCAAAAATGTTACGCTTAGTTTTTGTCGGGAAACCGCTTCAAGCCAGGCCAGGAATACTGTGCCACATGAGTTGACATTTGGCGCAGAGTGGCAGGTGTTCGCGCCTGGAAAAATTTAGCACAACTCTGACTGCAGGACGTTTACTAAACACATGAAAATGAATGGTGGGTTCATTTCATCATATTTCACATATGGCATGCCTTTCAAAGCCAGACTCAAGTGATTGGCATCCATTCTCCAAAAAGTCGATGTCTGAGATTCTCCATGTGGTTGGACCCACCCAGCCCTGTAGGCCCTTTTGAGCGCGGATGTTGACATCCATTGCATTGCCAATTCGGCCATGCAGGATGCATCACCAGGTGAAACCAACAGTCCCCACTTTGCGTTCAGCTCTCTGCAAAAAGACTTTGCAATCGATAATACCTGTTGGAAGCTTTTGACAACTCTCAATTGATTGCACATAGCTGTTTGGGGCACTAAGTTGCAACTTGTGGTTCCACGGGGGGGAGGGATTAAAGTTAAAGCTCCAAAAGCACATCAGCAAGACCATGGGAAGCCTGCAGCCAAGTCCTTATGAAAAAGAATAGTGATCATCTGACCTGTGGATCAGCATAGACGATACCAGGTGTCTGTGTGCCTGTCTGTGCGCAGGCATATTGACATAAACAAGAAATGGTGAAAGAAGTCGAGGTTGCAAGTGACATAGTTTTGGATCCGTTTATGGAACCCTTGTATACTGAAGGTCTGCAAATAAAGCTCCAAGATCTCCAAGGGCGGCGACAGAAATCAAATGTGATACAGGACACTTTACCCATGGGCACGTATCATCTGCTCCAGCATTGTCGCCTGGCAGGGCATCTGATATCTTTCTCCACCAAAGTGATGCGCCTTGTCCATGGTTTCAGTCATTCGAACATTTCAACTGAAGGCCAGGGGGAGGTACAACAACTAGCAGCTAGCAGGACGCTACTATAATGTTGTACCGGAGACTGTTCAGCTGCAAGAGTAAACTGATGACGATGATGATGGGCACGAATGATGATGACGATCCATGCTGATGCTGATGCTGATGCTGATGCTGATGCTGATGCTGATGCTGCTGCTGATGATAATTATTATCATTATCATTATCATTATTATGATGAGGATGAGGATGAGGATGAGGATGAGGATGAGGATGATGATGATGATGATGATGATGATGATGATGGTGATAATGATGATGATGATGATGATGATGAGGAGGACGACGACGACGACGCCGACGAAATGAAATATTGAAGATGACGACCCTGTACTTGCGCGCAACCCATGGTCTCGGGGGGGATCCAGGGCGGGTCCAGAGTAGAAGGGGTCCCAGCGGGGGGGGGGCCAGCGGAGGGTCCAGCGAAGATCAAAGCCGGAGGCAGGGGGGGAGCGGAGGGGGGTCCCAGCGGGGGGGGGGCCAGCGGAGGGTCCAGCGAAGATCAAAGCCGGAGGCAGGGTGGGAGCGGAGGGTATAACACTGAAAGTTTCATTGTTTTCAACGGTCCTGATACCTGCCTGTTCCTTGCAGCTAGGATAAGCTAGCTTTCGTGACATAATTCTGACTAGTATGTAATCCCTTCCCCCAATTGAAGTACCCCGCGCTAGAAAGCCTGGTTGTTGAATACTGAATCTACTCGGGATGGTGTCAATTCCGTGCCATGATTTCGACATCTCCACGGAGATCGCCCCACCTGTGAACTGAATCAGTGCTGCTCCTGGACCGTCTTCACCTCGTTGGGCCTCCACTGCTGCCTCGGCCTGTGGGATCAAACCCTAGCCATGCTACCCAGGCATCCCAAGAACCGAATAGTCGAATAGTCTTGGTATGTTTGGGGCTTTGGGCTTGCAAAGCCAGATTGGCAATGAAATGAATTGTTTGATCACCAGCCAATGTGCGGGTGGGCTTTCACACATGGCAATCTTCCACCGAAGGTTGCAATTCTCAGAACATAACATGAATGACCATTACAAAATTCAATCAGACCCTCATGACTCATGACTCACGACTGACATTTGTCCATGATATGTCGGCTTCTTCGGGCCTCAATGTTCAATATGCGAATGAACAAAGGCCTTATTTGGTCGAAGGATCATTTACATCTTGTTCATTCCAAAAATCCCGTTTGGACTGCAGATCGCTTATGCTACTTGCCTGGAATGACGTCTGTCTGTGATTCTTGTGCTTCAAGAAACTTTCTGGAACGAAATCCCATTCAAACTTATTGCTCAGCTCTGACCAACAGCCCGCTTCCCTGGCAAGATGTAAGCGCATGACAAACGCTTGTCCCTGTGTCGCCGCGGGAGCCAAAGGTCTTCTCCAAACATTACATGCCAAAAGTACCTGGAAACAAAAGGGCCCAAAGCCGCAGTGACCAGAACACAGCACTTGAGTGCAAAGCACGACAAATCCAGCAGTGCAGCAGTTTCTCAAAAATTCGAAAAGCTGGCAACGACCCTCTGCTTAAGTCTGATGCGGTTCGCTGGAAATTAGGGAGTGTACACTTCCAGTCACCTAGAGACTGTTCTGATATGCCAAGGCGCATGTTCAGCTGGCATGGAGTGCGTCCGCGAGGGTCAGGCTCCCAAACCACCTGCTCAATATGACTCATCGCTCATTGCAAGTGACTACATCCAAGATCTTCCAGGGAAGCCACAGCTTCATGCGGCATGGAAATGAACATGTCGTCGCCCCACTTCCTGAAATTGAGACAAATGTGGCTTTGTAATTCCGGCCAATTCCAACTTGAAATCTCGAGTTTGCTCATGTTTTTCCCACAAAAATCGTCATTTTGGGTCTCCATGGGTTGGACAACCCCTCCGTTGGCACCTTACCCACTGGGAAGAGCGCATGGTAAGACTCTGCCTTGGCACGTCCCCGTCCCCCAATCCCCCAGCATGTCGCTGTCAAACCGGGGCGCAGGCACCGAAGAAGCTAAGAGCCCGAACCTCCGAAATGACTGGAATAGTGGGGCAGCTGTTATTTGTTTAGTCACTTTACCATCCATCGTCTAACATCAACTGGAATTGGTTTACTTGTATTAAACATTAACTAACATTAACTAACCAAGATAAACTTGCTTTTAAGAGACTAAGAAATCCGAGAAATGATGGGGCGAACTTTAACTACCAAGAATGTTGGGCAATTGGGTTTTAACTAACCACACAATTGGTTGATGGTTACACATCATAACCTATACCTAACCGAGAAATGATTGGAAAACGGGGAGATAACTGAGATAAGATAAGCTTCAACGGTTTGCGAGATAACCACCAAAGTATTGGGAAGTAACCACCAAAATTAGGATGCATCGAGCACGTAATCCAGAACTGCTTCTGGATTCATGGGTGCCGAATCTCGCCGGGGAATTTTTTTCTCCTGCCCCGGGGATTTTTTTTCCTGATCCGTTCTGTTTTCCGTCCCCTGCATCTATCCTGCCACTTCCCTTCCATGCTGCATGCTATTTGCAGCATTTTGGAGCTGGAACCTTTCATTTTGCGTGTTATTTGCAGCATTTTGGAGCTGAACCTTCCATGCATGCTATTTGCAGCATTATGGCGCTGGAACTTTTTATTTTGTATGCTATTTGCCGCATTTAGGCGCAGGAACCTTCTATTTATCATGCTGTTTGCCGCATTTGCGCGCAGGAACCTGTCAGTTTGCGTGCTATTTGTAGAATTTGGGAGCTAGAACCTTCTATGTTGTTGTATTTGTTGTTACGTTGTTGCTGTTATGTTTGTTGTTGTGCTGTCTGTTGTTGTAATGTTTGTTGTTGTTTCTTTGTTATGTTTGTTGTTGCGATGTTTGTTCTTGTGATGTTTGCTGTTGCGATGGTTGCGATGGTTGTTGTTGTTGTTGTTGTTGTTGTTGTTGTTGTTGTTGTTGTTGCTGTTGTTGTTGTTGTTGTTGTTGTTGTTGTTGTTGTTGTTGTTGTTCCCCACATTGACGTGTGGGGTTTTTGTTTTTAGTTCTGTATCCGCTCCTCCTTCCCGTCCTCCCTCCTCAACACTCACTCACTCACTCACTCACTCGCTCGCTCGCTCGCTCGCTCGCTCGCTCGCTCACTCACACTCTTACTCACTCACTCACTCACTCACTCACTCACTCACACACACACACACACACACTCACACACTCACACACTCACACACTCACTCATGTGCATTTTGCGTGGTGGGCTCCGCGTGCTCCGCCGCTTTTGCGTGGCAGGCGTGGGACAATGTGAGCAGCCAAGGGCTCGGATGTACGCCCTGGCGTCCCTTGGGGCTCCGCCGCTTTGCGTGGCAGGCGTGGGACAATGTGAGCAGCCAAGGGGTCGGATGTACGCCCTGGCGTCCCTTGGGGCTCCGCCGCTTTTGCGTGGCAGGCGTGGGGCAATGTGCACTGCCAAGGGGTTGGATGTACGCCCTGGCGTCCCTTGGGGCTCCGCCGCTTTTGCGTGGCAGGCGTGGGACAATGTGCACTGCCAAGGGGTTGGATGTGCGCCCTGGCGTCCCTTGGGGCTCCGCCGCTTTTGCGTGGCAGGCGTGGGACAATCTGCACTGCCAAGGGGTTGGATGTACGCCCTGG